AGGCAAACATTCCCTCCGGACACACAGAAAGGGCATCCAGGGGAGACCAGGGTGAAGATGTGTAGGCAAACATACCCTCCGCACTCACAGAAAGGGCATCCAGGGGAGATCGGGGTGAAGATGTGTAGGCAAACATTCCCTCCCCACTCACAGAAAGGGCATCCAGGGGAGACCGGGGTGAAGATGTGTAGGCAAATATTCCTTCCCCACTCTTGGACAGGGCATCCAGGGGAGAACAAAGTGAAGAAGAGTATGCAAACATTCCCTCCCCGCTCATGGACATTCAGGGGAGACGAGGCTGAAGATGAGTAGGCAAACATTCCTTCCCCACTCTTGGACAGGGCATCCAGGGGAGACCAGGGTGAAGATGTGTATGCAAACATTCCCTCCCCGATCATGGACATGGCATCCAGGGGAGACTAGGGTGAAGATGAGTAGGCAAACTTTCCCTCCCTGCTCATGGACAGGGTATCCAGAGGAGACCAGAGTGAAGATGTGTATGCAAACATTCCCTCCCCGATCATGGACAGGACATCCAGGGGAGACCAGGGTGAAGATGAGTAGGCAAACATTCCCTCCCTGCTCATGGACAGGGCATTCAGGGGAGACCAGGGTGAAGATGTGTATGCAAACATTCCCTCCCTGCTCATGGACAGGACATTCAGGGGAGACCAGGGTGAAGATGTGTATGCAAACATTCCCTCCCTGCTGATGGACATTCAGGGGAGACCAGTGTGAAGATGTGTATGCAAACATTCCCTCCCTGCTGATGGACATTCAGGGGAGACCAGGGTGAAGATGCCCCAAAGAACATGTTCATGCCCATGGAATGGTCTCGTTTCAAGTCATCAAGAGGATCACCATGACATGGAACACATCTCAATCTTAAAACATTGCCAACTCTACATGTGGGTGCCCTGTCCATGAGCTGGGAAGGGAATGTTTGCCTACTCATCTTCACCCTGGTCTCCCCTGAATGTCCTGTCCATGAGTGGGGAGGGAATGTTTGCCTACACATCTTCACCCTGGTCTCCCCTGGATGCCCTGTCCAAGAGTGGGGAGGGAATGTTTGCCTACTCATCTTCACCCTGGTCTCCCCTGGATGCCATGTCCATTAGTGGGGAGGGAATGTTTGCCTACTCATCTTCACCCTGTTCTCCCCTAGATGCCCTGTCCAAGAGTGGGGAGGGAATGTTTGCCTACTCATCTTCACCCTGGTCTCCCCTGGATGCCCTGTCCATGAGCGGGGACGGAATGTTTGCCTACTCATCTTCACCCTGGTCTCTCCCAGACAGAGTACTTGAGAGAGATAGAGGACACAGAGATTGTGGTTTCCAAGACTATTCCCACTGCTCTTGGAAGAACCTCTTGAAATACCAGAGTGTCACAATCTTTTACCTCAGCCAAGATCGGACATATTTTACAGCAGCCTCCACAAACTCAACCTTAACACCTGGAAACTTTCCTTGGCTAAAATGCAAGCTACTGGCTTTGTTAAGTCTGCTTCAGAAGCAGTGAAACAGTCATAAAGATCCTCTTCAACAATCGATGGAACTAACTTTGTTTGTGGCAAAGAGGAAGAGATTTACAATACTTTGATATAACTACCGTATATCGCTGTGTATTAGGAAAGTTTTCGTATCTAGAATTAGGACGCTTTCACAGCGGTCGACTTATACACAGGGTTGAAGAGTTTGGATGTTTTTGTCCCTAACATAAAGACAATACAGTGAGCATGTAACAACAGGAATATCATGTCAACAAATACTGAAGTACGCAAACTAATCATACATTAATCATGTATGGTTATAAAAAGTGTTCATTTTATATCGGGACATATGTGTGTAATCTATTTTATTAATTTTATTCAAAATTTTATTGAATATTGTTTACATTAATGTCGGCAAAATCAAATGTGAGGTGATAGAAAGATCGCACTACTCACCCGTATTTAGGGCAACCACGGTCAGATTACCACTATTGACACCTTGAAACAAACTTTAGTGGATAGAGAATGGATATATATATCATATAGGCCATACATTGACTCGCTGAAAGTCATATTTGTTGTAGTTTTACTATTATATGTCAACGTAAAGTTTTAGCCATTGCATGCACAGAGCATCGACTGTGATTGATCAAATTGTTCCATACGAAAAAATATCCATCAATATCAATCAATCAATGTGATTCACATGAAACCTCAGACCTGGAAGTGAGAGTCACAGGAGACCTCAGACCTGGAAGTAAGAGTCACGGGAGACCTCAGACCTTGAAGTTAGAGTCACAGGAGACCTCAGACCTGGAAGTGAGAGTCACAGGAGACCTCAGACCTGGAAGTGAGAGTCACAGGAGACCTCAGACCTGGAAGTGAGAGTCACAGGAGACCTCAGACCTGGAAGTGAGAGTCACAGGAGACCTCAGACCTGGAAGTGAGAGTCACAGGAGACCTCAGACCTGGAAGTGAGAGTCACAGGAGACCTCAGACCTGGAAGTGAGAGTCACAGGAGACCTCAGACCTGGAAGTGAGAGTCACAGGAGACCTCAGACCTGGAAGTAAGAGTCACAGGAGACCTCAGACCTGGAAGTTGGAGTCACAGGAGACCTCAGACCTTGAAGTTAGAGTCACGGGAGACCTCAGACCTTGAAGTTAGAGTCACAGCAGACCTCAGACCTGGAAGTTAGAGTCACGGGAGACCTCAGACCTTGAAGTTAGAGTCACAGGAGACCTCAGACCTGGAAGTGAGAGTCACAGGAGACCTCAGACCTAGAAGTGAGAGTCACAGGAGACCTCAGACCTAGAAGTGAGAGTCACAGGAGACCTCAGACCTAGAAGTGAGAGTCACAGGAGACCTCAGACCTAGAAGTTAGAGTCACAGGAGACCTCAGACCTGGAAGTGAGAGTCACAGGAGACCTCAGACCTGGAAGTGAGAGTCACGGGAGAACTCAGACCTGGAAGTGAAAGTCACAGGAGACCTCAGACCTGGAAGTGAGAGTCACAGGAGACCTCAGACCTGGAAGTTAGAGTCACAGGAGACCTCAGACCTGGAAGTGACTTCAAAGTCACCAAAGAAAGCAGAAGTGACATCTTAAGAACAGAGATTGGGCATCATATTTCTGCTTATCCTTGATCCCTGCTTCACTGTTGCCAACTATCTTGGAGATACCTCTGATGAATACAAGCTATGATGTGAAGGCTACTCAAAGGGATTTTCAAACAATAGTTATCATTGTTTATAGTTCTGAGAATACTACCTCTATGCAGTTGTATTCCATTACAAGAAATGATGTCTTCAGATGGAGAGGGTGCATATGAGTTTCCTGAGTTTAGCAAGAAGCAGGTGCCCTTCTGGTCAGAAGTCCTAGTCCATGCTTCTTTACAAGAGTGGTTGTTGCAGACGAAAGAGCATGACAGTTTCTAATTTAGTTAGTGTATGTTTTCTGAAAATATTCTGACCCAAGATGACTGAATTATTGTGATATTTTTATGAATATTTGTCAATGAATACCTATATGGCTCAGTTGACAGGTGAGCTACAGTGCTGGTAACAGGTAAGGACCAGGTCACTGGCAAGTGATTTTACAGTTATGCTATAAGCATATACAAGATCACCTCATTTAGTGCATATTGTTGTCACAAGCAAACTTTTGAATCAAAGTATAAGTCTCCCTTTAACTTTAGACTCGAACTGTAATCCTATAAAGTTCATTAGGCAGCCATATTGAAATGTCATGTTGGCCTATTACTGAACCATTTCTTCATGTATCACTGTAGGATTTTGTACACAGTGAGCATGTCTATTGTGTATGGTCTCATCTTTTTGTGTTTCCATATTTGACTCATTGACAACCTTTGCCTTCTGTAGCCCTTGTGTCTAATGGTGTCTGACTTCTCTGAACAGGCTGCAGGAATGAGCCAGAATTTTTTTTTAATCAGATTTTCAAAAAAACATTAGCCTTGGAGTCGAACACATTTGTTCAGACCAAACAGAAAATATTTTATCCTTTTTTCAAAATGAATGTAAAAATTTAAGCCATGCCCATTAAAGTGGACTACTTTCACCTCTACAGAACGAAAAAGGGGAATCACATACTGCGAGAGAATTTCCTTTCTGCTCATCTGTGGCATTATTCACAGAACATTTTAGCGAAATTATGCATATTCATGTTACCAAAGTTGGACAAGGAATGAAACAGCAAACATGCAGGCTCGCTTGCCTGGTGTTTCTCGCTTGCCAGCTTTAAACAAATTTCATGTCTTTGGGTTTCATTTCTAACTCACATTTGTCCAACTATGACTTCTGTTTCTCTGGGAACTAATGTTTGAATCTGGCAGTTACAGACTATGTCCTTTGAAACAGCTGCCTTCTCCTGGGCATTATTTGCATAGCAGATTCTTACAAATGTTTGCACATTGGTCTTTTTGGCACAGTCAATACTTAAATGAAACTTATTCCGTTTTTCTATATATTTTGAAGTTTGGCAAATGTTGACATTTCAACATGCTCCTAAATTTTCACAAATGCATTTCCTCTTACTGTCAATGCCTTTTCCTCAGAAACAACTGGACAAATGAAGCTTAAATTTCATATGCTTGTTCCCACAAATATTGGCACCTGAATTAAAATGATTTTCAGAATGGCCTACCTTGGAGACTTTATTGAAAAAACTCTTTATGGCCACTGGTGTAATGTTATGTTCTTAAATTTTCATCTCTGTAAACATCTTTTGATCTGAATTTGCCCGACCGAGGAAGCAATGGCATCTGTGTTTCTCCTAACATGACATGTTACTTTGGAAATATCCTATGGCTTTGGAAATATTATTCCGTCTGAAAAGGTATGTAAGGCTCAGAGGTGAAACTTTGTGTAACATAAACTTTACTGTTGTACATTGTTGCTTCTTTTCTATTCTTTAAAATTTTGTGTGTGATCACAATCACAGTCTATTCCAGTTTCAAGGAAATTATTAAAATATGTTTGTGTGCTTCCTGTTACAGAGTAGATGACCTGGTCAGACACAACCCTGAATACCTGGAGCAGCCTGAAGCATCACTATCAAAACAGCAGAAAAACACCTAGACACCGGCCATTTAGGCACCACACACAACACAGCAGAGGAAGACCTAGACACCTGCCATTTAGGCACCACACACAACACAGCAGAGGAAGACCTAGACACCGGCCATTTAGGCACCACACACAACACAGCAGAGGAAGACCTAGACACCTGCCATTTAGGCACCACACACAACACAGCAGAGGAAGACCTAGACACCTGCCATTTGGGCACCACACACAACACAGCAGAGGAAGACCTAGACACCTGCCATTTGGGCACCACACACAACACAGCAGAGGAAGACCTAGACACCTGCCATTTGGGCACCACACACAACACAGCAGAGGAAGACCTAGACACCGGCCATTTGGGCACCACACACAACACAGCAGAGGAAGACCTAGACACCTGCCATTTAGGCACCACACACAACACAGCAGAGGAAGACCTAGACACCGGCCATTTAGGCACCACACACAACACAGCAGAGGAAGACCTAGACACCGGCCATTTGGGCACCACACACAACACAGCAGAGGAAGACCTAGACACCTGCCATTTAGGCACCACACACAACACAGCAGAGGAAGACCTAGACACCTGCCATTTAGGCACCACACACAACACAGCAGAGGAAAACCTAGACACCTGCCATTTGGGCACCACACACAACACAGCAGAGGAAAACCTAGACTGCTGCCATTGAAGCAACACAACACAGCAGAGGAAGACCTAGACTGATGCCATTGAAGCACCACACAACACAGCAAAGGAAGACCTAGACTGCTGCCATTGAAGCACCACACAACACAGCTAACAATTGGGGGGCATTTATCAGTGTCATAATCAAGTGACTGAAACAAGAAGGAAAAGAGTTTGTTACTGTAACAATCAATGGAAACTGACCTCTACTTTGGGGATATGTGTGACATATTAATTATACCAAATGAATCAAAGAAAGCTTCTTTTCCTGAAGGAAAGCAAGGAAAATAAATGATACTACACATTTCTCAAATCCATATGATACTCACTCAAATGTGAACAAAATATTCATTATGCTTTTGTTTTATTAATTGCAGTGAAGAAGCAGGCTTTTCTATAAAAGAAACATGTTGATTATTGTCTACATGGCAACAACAATCCTAGAAAGACAATGCAGTATTACAGGAACAAGGATGTCTGTATAATTAAACACGACAGATTATTGCATAATGCATGTAAAAATAAGTATTATACCTACTGTTGGATGTCACAGTAGATTTAGTATTGCATAAGCAGACACAGTCCTACAGAGTTACACACAGACAGGAACAAGAGTCACACAGGTGTACAGAATTACACAAAGACAGGAACAAGAGTCACACAGATGTACAGAATTACACACAGACATGACTTACACACAGACAGGAACAAGAGTCACACATATGTACAGAATTACAAAGAGACGAGACTTACACACAGACAGGAACAAGAGTCACACAGATGTACAGAATTACACACAGACATGACTTACACACAGACAGGAACAAGAGTCACACAGATGTACAGAATTACAAAGAGACGTGACTTACACACAGACAAGAACAAGAGTCACACAGGTGTACAGAATTACAGACAGACAGGAACAAGAATCACACAGATACTCGTTTGCAGCTTTAGGTATTGACAGTTAGTGAGTCATCTGGTCCGTCTGTACCCTACCCTGTACATATGTACAGTGTCCCAGCCTGCTTGTAACAGATGAACCCATAACTTATAGTATTCTTGTGAACACCTCTGTTTCAACATTAAGGCTTTGATGACCTCGGTAGGTGATCTGTTGTTGTTCCTTCACAATACTAGTGAGTTCAAATTATGAAATAATTACTTGTAGCACTTTCTACTTGACCCATTATGAAGCATATTACCCTCTTGGTTGCAAAGTATCTTTCATATACTCCTTAGTCTCTTCTTCATGCACAAGTATCGGTTGTATTATATATATAATATTTAGAGAAAAATAACGAAGGCAGTGTAGAACCTAAGCAACGCACCTGTTAAATATTTACATGTACTGGTGTTATTTTTCTGCATCATAGGCATGATTCCTTCGTTTTCATGTAGATGTGATATCAATGTGCGCATTCATCTATCTGGAATTAGGACAAGTAGATTAGATAGATGATAAAGGAAAGTAAAATAATGTGGCAACAGATTTTAGTTCTTTCATGCTGTCACGATCCAGTTTGTTCTAGCAGCTTGTAGCAGTGCCTTTCTGGAGTGCAGTGTGTGTGTGTGTGTGTGTCCTTTGGTGCAGTGAAAGATGGTCATTTTGCACTGTTATAAATTTCCCTTTTCGTGTGCAATAAATATTATTAAGTTGATCCATCATAATTACTTTCCATTCAGATGTATGTGTAGCAGCCTCTGTGTGTTCTAACGATATGACATATCATGTTTATGTTGGTATATTGTTTTCTTGTGACAGTACTGGTTACGTTTAACTGACAGCCATTTGCACAGAAGTGCGTCCTGCCACATTTGCTGCCCTACACATACACCAGTCTCAGCTTTGGTGGCATTACAAGGTTCCCCTGGGTAGTTTGTAAGTGCAGATGTTTTCCAGTATACTGCCTATGGTACCCTGCATTACCCTGTGTTACATACATGCCAGTAAGTACTGAGGCCACTCCTGTGTATTATGCTTTCCAGGTGATAAATGTTATTTGCCCTAGCTGACATGCAGCAACTTGTTTGTACCTTAATTAAATATCATAAACAGAGCAATTGCATTCCAGGATGTCCTACCTGTTCAGTATAAGTCCTCATCTTGTAAAGGCTAAAACTGATGGCAATAACCTCTTCTTATAGCTTAAGTCGGGTTTTGGAGATGGTCACAATACACCAGTAGGAGGTGGCGCTACACCAATTTGCATGACATGGTGGTTATTGCAATAGGTCTGATTAGATGTTCAAGAGCAATCCTTTCCTGGGCATGACCAGTTTCAATTCACAACATGTGTCTCCAGGAATCCATCAGTATAACTGTTATTTACTTTGGAAATATCGTACTTCTTTCATTTTTATGTATTTATTTTATCAAAAATTGTAGTTTTATTTGTGTGTCCAAATTTATGTACTTTTGCGTGCAATGGTCCTGTGCACTTCAGGTCAACATACTATTTAATTTCAAGTTTTATATCTGTGTTATGTATCAGTATTCAGGGTCCTGCTTGCAGTGTATTATTTTAGATGAAGATATTGAATATTCACATTTTGACTACTTTCCTCTGTGACGTACGAATAAATATTAAAAATGTTTGTTTTTGTAATGTTTTGGGACATGATTCAGGAAGTATATCTGAGTGGAACGTTTGGTCTCATTTGTGGATCTTTAGTGTGCGTCGTCATCACTGCTTTACATTTAGTAAAATTCTGAAATTATACCTGTAGAGTGCCACTTTGACAGCAATCAAGATGCCAGAACTGAAAATGAGAACACCTTCAAGCACGTTTCATTGGCATTCAAGAAGTTGGTGAGTAAGTAGGAAAACGTTCAACTTAATGGATAACAACTTCTGGTTCATTGCATACAGTGATGTTTCAGTGTAGAAGCGTTATCAATTACCTGTTTTTTTCAATGTTAATCTGTTGCTTATCACAACATGTTCCCGTGGACCCACGTGTTTCTTATAAGATTATACTAGTAAGAGGTCAATGTGACAAGTTAAGACACGCACATATCCATCGTACTGCTTGTTGCGGACCACCGGCTACCCCTTTCTTCACACTGGTACTCGCCAACTCCAGATCAATGGTTTAATCCTCATCCAAGGTGCCAGTCCTGCAAGAATAACACATGCACGCTAAAATCCAGGTTCACTTTGAAAACTCACAAAGGTGTGACATAATGATTCTGACTCATACAAGAACACTATGGCTTCAGTTAAAAATTCGTCATCTACGTCCTGTTAGAAGAGGAAAGTGATTCAATCTGTAACACCCATCACTGACAAGCACGCCGTCTACCCCTCTTTGCTCATCCCACCCTCCCGATATAGTTAAGGAGCCGATGTACCTTTCTGGTAAGGTGGACCATCTAGGCTTAGAGGAAGCAAATGATCTCCACCATATACCACATTTACTCTTTAACTTAAATGAGTTCTCATCTATGTCTGAAATGAGTGACATACATATGCAACCAATGTCTCATAAAACTTAACATCTAAAAGAATCTGTTGCACAACAAAAATAGATCTAGGCCTGAATATGACAGGACATCCTCCCAGTAGTAATCATGAATGTTGCCAAGCTGAAACAGCAGATTATGACTATAGTAGGAGAGTCATGAAAAGATATTGAGAATCTCACAGATCTCCGCCCTACCACAAAACAATAAGGTAGACCGGGAGTCACGGATGTCTCACTGCAGCCGGAAGAGAGATTGAGAATGGTGTCCATCTAGTCTTCACTATTACAACAGACGAGTTGACCAAGAATCTCATACACGTCATGCTAGATCTCCTAAGCATAATCCCTCTCATACCATTATGCAGTCCAGTTCATAGTTCGGGGTCAGTGAAGTGGATGTTAGATCACCGACCCACACTTATATGTAACATGCTTCCCATTCCTCGTGCCACAGATCAGATGACCAGGACTACTCTACCCCAAGCTATCTCAGGTCACCCAAGTGCAGCTTGCATAGTAGGTGTGGATCTATATCTAACATGACTTCTTCAAGGAATTGAACTCTTGCACAAAGAATAATTATACTAAACCAAATTAAAAACTTCACAATCCTAAAATTTTAACATTTTGACCAGTTATCATTGTGGGCCCTTATTGTGTATTTAAACAGTAATGGCCACGTATTGTCTTCAGATAACACCCGTTTTTGCACAGCACTATAGTGGCAAAAGTGGTTTTTCACGTGCTACTCGTCACGTGGCCATAATACCGCACGTGTTTTCAGCCATACTTGTTAGCAGTCATTAACAAAAAAAGAAAAACACAAGAGAACAAAAGTCTTTACGGCCATTTGTCATGCCACGCCTTTCACATGTGCAACGTGAACGTGCCATCGGCATGTTGCAGATGGGAACGTCCGTAGCTGAAGTCGCAAGGACGATGAGTTGTAGTCGACGGACTGTTTATGATTTACAGACGCGTCTGCAGCAAACGGGTACCACCGCTGATCGCCCTCGGCAAGGTCGACCACGTGTGACGTCACATGCAGAGTATCGTCAGATTGTTTTACGTCACCTCCGTAACCGATTTTTGACGGCTACATCAACCAGAAATGAACTGTTTAGGGGTACACTGAGTGCGCAAACTGTTCGAAACTGTCTGAGAACTGCTCACCTTCAAGCACGACGGCCATTCTGCGGGCCGATTCTGACTCAATTACACAGATGTCAACGTCAGTTGTGGGCACAGCGACACTTACGATGGACTCAGAGGAATTGGAATCAAGTCGTCTTCAGTGATGAATTCCGATTTAATCTTCGATTTGCTGATGGTAGGGCGAGGTTGTGGAGGCGCCGTCATGAACGTTACGCCCAGTGTTGTGTACAGGAAGTTGACAGATTTCGAGGCGGAAGCGTCATGGTGTGGGTTGTTTTTCTGTGGCAATGCACGTTCCAGGCTTCGTGTCATCCGTGGCAACCTCAACGCTGCTGCTTACCGCGACCAGGTACTGGCACCAGAACTTCTGCCTTTTATGGCAGCACATGGACCCGGTTTGATCTTCCAACACGACAATGCCAGACCCCACACAGCAATTTTGACAAGGAATTTCCTTCAGAATGCGGGAGTCAACGTCATGGACTGGCCGTCAAGGTCTCCCGACCTCAATCCCATCGAACACATCTGGGATGCTCTTGGCAGAAGTCTCCGCACTCTCCAGAACCAACCACAGAATTTGCAAGATCTTGGCACCATTTTGCAGCAACAATGGCGTCGTCTTCCCAATCATGTGTTCACAAGCATCACAAGGTCCATGCGGAGGCGTTGTGTGGCAGTTTTCAGTGCACATGGTGGCCATACACGCTACTGAACTTGTGTGCCATCAGATTCTCATGCTTGGGATTTATGATTTAAACTGTTGATGTTATTACCGAATACCGTAGGTGCTTAGAACAAATTATGGTTACCACTGTTAATTAAAATCCTTCTTTGGACATTTATGATTAACAATTACCTTCTCTGATACATTTGTCCGTTGTATATCATATATGGGATTACTTTTAAAAATGTGAAGTTTTTAATTTGACTCAGTATATAAACTCAATAATTGTTCCATTAAAGATATCATTGCAGAACTTTACAATATGATTCCGGCTACCAATAAGTAGGAGCTACCTTCCAAACCTTTGCTAGAGCATGTGAACATGAGAAACCCGTTAAAGAGTCTGAAGCATTCCACTCCCTAACTTGTTCATCATATACCAACGATGTCATCAAGAGAATTGAAGCATATCTGAATTCTTCATCAGTGCATGACATCAGATTTGGTATGCTTGCCATTAATAAGAATCCTTGCAGGACACGCGATGCTCCTTTCCAAGTTCAGCCAAAGATTGATGAAGGTTTTTATTAACTAGTTAAAAATTCTAACACCAGGATGCACGTTAACATTGCTCGAATCCCAGACTTTGATGTCAACAAATAACTGTTAAACACCAGTTCATATATTAACTGGGTTGTGGCTGAAATTCATCACGCCATCCCACCTAACCAGAGTGAAGATCTTCAATTGTTACCGCCAAAGATATGATTCTACAGCAGGCCGGCTTTATTCTCCGCTCATCAGGCCATATGCTACAAATGTGAGACGATCTTCAAACAGCACAGGTTTGGATGTCAGTACAGTTCCTCCTCATGTAAAGAAACCATCTACTGCCACAAGTGCACCATATGATTTTGGAGGTAGAGGCAGACGAGGCTTCCAAGGTGGTCCCCGGCAGAAGCTAACAGATTTCTACAGATCCTGTTGACCCTGCCTGCCCGATGGACAGATTATCAACGCTCACAACAAATCCTATAGACATGGCCTGCCTTATTGACATTGATATAAGACTATCAAAGTTAAGCACTACACCTACTCCGGGCCCAGGCAGGGGACGTCTTATGCAGTACGCAGACAACTGGGAAGCCATCACAGACTATTCCTGGCTGCTCGGAGTGGTAAAAAGAGGATACAAACTCCACTTTCTAAAACTTCGAAGAGTGGTTATTCATCCTACTGGACGCCGATTCCATCTGACAGGAAGAAAGCTACTTGCATCAAATGTGGCCATACTAGCCAAGAGAGCCATCAGCGCATTGAAAGAATCAGATACTATCCTTGGAGTCTGCTCACCAGTCTTCCTGGTTCCGAAGAATAATTCATTGGAAATGTGCATGTTCAATGATTTGTTAGTGCTAAACAAAGAATATCTTGTGAAACCTCCCAAGTTCTTCATGGAATCCTTCAAGTAATTAAAGAACACCTAAAGACAATCAGATTGGATGACACGCCTAGGCCTCCAGGATAGTAGAGGAAAACTTAGTAGTTCATGACAACAATAGCATTTACCTCCCAATTTCAAGGAAAGCCATGAAGCGCGAGCGAGTGGACAATGGAGGGGGGTACTTGAATGTGCGTTAGACCGTTGCAACCTCCCTAAAGATGTGGTAACAATGGGGACAAAGGATGGTATTGATACAAGCGGAGTGAAGGTGTTGACACAGGTGCTCGTCGACTGCTAGCGGTTTCCCGTTCGGCGTCTGCTACCGGTTCCCCCGTCTTCAACGGGTTAGATGCGAATAAGAAAAAAGTTCGTCTGCTTTAGGATAGTCGTCTGTTGGTTTTTGCGACTAAGGATGGTTGTTGTAAGTGTCTTCCTGAGATTAAAGAAGTTAGACAATGGGGAACTAAGCGACCGACCGCCAATAACAATGTCAACATACCCCGGCCTTATAATTAATGTCAACATACCAGCCTCGCCTGAAGCTTCCCATTCATAAATTGTGTGACCAGTGTCCTGTATTTATGATATGTTAGGGAAGATGTGTTGTACATTTGTTATTTTAAAAGGAAAGTTATTTCAGAGAGGATATATATGGGTATTCCCCTCATTAAACATTTCTTTCGTTGGTGTCTATTAAACGTATCCGGTATTTAATACATTTGAATGATGTAGGAAAGTATGTGCCTGTAGATGTTGTACCTATATCCGAACACGAATGTATGACACCTTTCAATAGATCAATTACGGTTCTAACCACGACACGCAACATGACTATGAGCGTGGTTAGCAGTTCATATTTATAAACAC